GAGAGAGAGAGAGAGAGAGAGAGAGAGAGAGAGAGACAGAATTGTGCCTTCGCAGTTAATTCAACATTAAAAGAAACGCCGTTAAAGTAGGTCGCAGCTATTACATAAAAATAAATCGGTGTGAAGTTCTATAATTATTTTTCTTTCAAATAAGAAAGATGCTATTATCGTCTCCTAGAAAATTAATTGAATAAAAACTTCAAGCTATTTAACTTAATTTTGTTAAGCTACTTGTTGGGAAATGCGAAAAAATCAGAGGTTGCTCGATATAAACTATTAAATAGCGTTTTTCATTCACATCTATGTCGCTTTTAAAAAATTTCTTTTTCTGTACAATTTCTTTATTAATTTTTTCTTAATTAGACAATTCTTTATTATAAACATAAGTGTAGCGTAGGAAAACACTTTATGCTATCATTTAAAAAAATGGTCTAGAAATTTAAAAAGAGTTTTAAGAAATGAGAGACGTGAACATGAATATACAATGTGTGCATGCCATTTAAGAAGTAATACCAAGTGTTAGAAGTTAACGAAAAATATTATACATATATATAAATTAAAAAAAATCCTAGTTACGCTATTACGTTAAACAAAGAGCCAAAAAATCACGTGGCACCGGATCAACGTGCAAGCAGCGTCACTGGCTGTTCTAACCCGAATACGTCAGGTGGATTTCTCACGAGACTCCTTTGCAGAGAATTCTGACTTAGTCATTTATCACGATCCGATGAGAAAAGGAAATGGGCGTACGACGGTAGTGATAGGAGCGATCGGTGCAAATCGCTTTTCCGAAGCAAAATGTTACGAGATATCTGACGTTAAATATTATACTATCACCGTATGTAACTTCGGTTATGTTCCAGCGCCAGATGTTCCTGTCGTTCGATGTAAAACTATTATAGTACAATGCGATTATAGAGAAGTGAGAGAAATCTGATTTGTAAAATCCATGCATTTATCTTTAATCGTGTTATTCAATATTCTAAATCGTATTTAATATCGCCTTTAAAATGTAGGCAACACGATTAAGGTATCAGATGTACAATCTCGGCCTAAAAGCGACTTGAAATTTGTATTTAAACGATACAATTTTATAGTTTGAACGAAAATTTTCTCATTTTGTCGTAATTGTTTTTGAAAATCATGTCTACTTATTTAAATAATTTTTGATCCAAATTTTAAATCGCGTCGTAAAACTTTTTGTATTACTTTTAAATACAATATAGAAAAATTTGTAATTTTTTTTCATAAGAGTTTTTTATTTTGTTAAAAAAATAATTGTAATACATCCCTAAATCTAAGTCGCAACAATGTATACATGTATATTTTCCACGTACGTTTTAACAAAATAGCGCAGTAACAGTTTTTTTTTCTTTCAAACCCGTAGTTTGGAATTAAAATCACATAGTGTATATCAAGTTTAAAAAAAAACGGATGCCCCTTATTTTGCACATCCCATTTTACGTCCCGCCATGCGGCTAACACACGGATAACGAATATTAACTAACAAACGATATATATATCTCATCATTTATGAAATAAAAAATAAAATAACGTCCGCGGGAAAAGCGTCGCTGCATCATATACGACATATTGAAGAGATGCGCGACGCAATATACTTTGTCGTTTAAACCGCGCCTCGTAAATAGATTGCCGTTTGATCGCCTAACGCATCGACAGCAAGTTACAGTGACATTTACACTTTCAATAAAATAGAAAACGATTCACCTTTTCATATAGCTCAACTCGTGGAAAAGGTCGACTGGTCTTGGTCACCGTATTTCAAACTGTAATGTCATAGCGTACTTCACCATACATACCAACATATTAACGTGATTTCGTCGTAACCTAAAGCGTTTTTAAGGTAGTTTTGTGGAAAATTGTAATAACGAGTTTCTCCGCTAATTTAATTCGCAGAGATTCTATTCGAGACGGCCATTACATTATTCAATCTCAAACTTTAATTTTTATATGTTCATATAAATCGTTTAAAAATTTATGACGGAACTTACTTGCGTAATATGCTTTCAATCAAAAGTAATAAATAATCCATTTAGACATAATTCTACAAAGACACAAGCTGATTTTTTTAGATATCGCGAAAACGTGATATTTTCTGAAATTTAAGGGAAAGGGATAACGGGTAATAAAAATTTAAGGTTTTTGACGAGAAAACTCTCAAGAATCGTAAACGAATGCAGTGGGCCGCTTTATACGAGCCATAGAAACGTAACTAGAAGTTAAGTCGCGTAGCTTTAAAATAGGACACGCATTTTTTTTTATGTTTCGTACTCCGCAATGACTGTAACGCTGCGATAAAACGACGTCACGTCTTTTGAAGGATATTTGAGCATTCGCACGTAGCTGCTCGAGAAAATTTAGGAAGGCGCGTTTTTAGCATACAGGCCAGGATATGTAGAAATTGCCTCTGTATAACTCAGTTGCCTTCGCAAACCAAAGGCGATTTAATCAACCGGATTGAAGCACTTCAATTCGCGCAGCTTCACATCCCTGCCTATCTCCATCCGATCCGCTGCGAGCAGGAGGCCATTAAAGGGAACGAATCAGCGTAAAATACACGTGGCTTAGTACAACAGCGTGCACTGTACAACAGCTTAATAACAGCTTCCAGCTTTGTAAGAAGGATACATCGGATAATTGGTACCGAAGCCTAGGAGTCTAGATTACATAGCAGGCTTAACTCTTACCGAGGTATCTGGGGATTGCTAAACAAGTGTCAAATATCATAACCGTCCTTGTCACGCTGAGATAATTTGTCGTTACATGGAAATCATGAATTGCACCGTACGTGGGGGTTTCAAAATGTTAAGCAATTTTGGTCTTGCAGAAATCTTGATACACAGCCAAGAGTAATGAAAAATTAATAAACTTTTAATTTTTAGAAAGAGATAAAGATTATCTTCGAATAAGATCAGTCTTTTCTCTTTCATATACTCTTGGAGTTTCTCCTTATTCTTGAATTTGGATTATAAATATATATCAGTAGACACGGCAGTATCTCGGGTGTTAAGTAAACATTTTATACTTCTTTTTTTATTTTAAATAACCCTCGAGACTGGCCGTGTAATGAAAAATGAACTAACTGTTGTCAGATACAAGCACTTAAAGAAAAATCCCTCAGGAGCTGGTTGACCAACGAAACTCGCAGTAATCAAAATACCGTAATTGCGGGGCAGATGATATACGATATGTGTTTGTTAACAAGGTCTAGCTCGTTTATTTTTTTTTATAAAACAGAATGAAATTTCAGTAGCAACGAGGAAAACATCGCCGATGTCGCTACTGTTCAACGAAAAGTTACAAAAAAAGTTTGCTCGGCCAATAGCGATGTCACTTGACAAACTTTCATGACAGAACTCCGATATAGACGTGACGAGAAATCTTGTCTTACATATCCTTAGTAAGAACACATCTCACTTTACCGAAAACTGTCACGAAGAGCCATGCGCGAAAAACTAACATTCTCGTCGTTTTGACTTTACTAACTTCACAGTAACTTGTGGGACTTGCGTGCAATGCTTTGATAAGGTATCAATGATTAGAGTTGTCAACTCATCGATAATGAACCAGCCTAGCCAGTATTTTCACTCTTCGGTCGGTTGCTAGTGTATTTTACTGGCCTCGATCCATAAAATAATGATAAATTAAATTTGTTTTATGAAAAAGATTTTTTACAACAAAAATTTAATTTTAAGTTCCATATATACATTTTTCTCGCGTGATAGCGCTGCGGCACTAAAGTTATAGATATACTAAAATTGCGCAATCCTTTTGTCTAAGCCGAAATGCCAACAACTTTTCTATTGGCTATTTCAACCGCCATTTTCGATCTAGTATCCAATAAGCGTCTAATATATAATACAGTTATTATCGAAAATGGAGGACCTTTGCGCTACTTTGATATATCTAGAGCTTTGTGTGATACCTCTCTCGTAATTGACTAGACATTGAAACGTAGAATGTGTTACACATTTATTTTACTCTATAGTCGTTTTTAGCCGATAATCGGAATTCCGGATTTTTGTGTCTGATTTGCTATTAATATTCAATTTTTAAATGCTGATAAAAATTAAAAATATTATTTTATTACATCAAGTATAATATCATAGAAAGAAAATACAAATATAATCATTATACATCCGTAGCTTTAACGGTATAAATGCTGTCTGGCCGCTTTATATATGTAATTCTCGTGCTTGAGCGTAGAAAGGTCGCATAATAATGGGACACCTTTGTGATATTAATGGCACAATCCTTATGTCATAGTCTCTTATCCGGTATATTCTAGGTTGATGACGTCGATAATTGTGTAATATGTTGGAAGATAGTGGTGATTAAGAACAATCAGAAAGGAAGTGCATTACGTGACCGCGATATAATGCTCCTTCGACCCATTAAGACGATAACAATTTTGCTATATGATATAATACAAGGCCTATAATATTATACACACATATAGCTGTCAAGTAGATATCTCTTACTATATCTAATAAGGATACATACTAACAATAATAATATATACAAGATATATAACGGATCTACAAAGATAACCTACCAAAGCATACACAGCGACACTTGTCAAATATAGCGACATGTACTAAACCATCGACGTTTATTGGAAAAATATCCGAGAAATTGAAAAGCATTGAGGCGATAATCGCATTCGTTTGCTGACAAAATGGTAAGAGCAATCTGCGAAATTACAACTACAGTCGAGAGTTTTCAATATGGCATATCAAGCGGCGCTTAATTAAATTGTGACCTTGCTTTTCTGTCCCCTGCGTTTGCGTCCCCAATATATTCTTAGAGAGAAAATTAATCTTAAATATAAAATTCACTTTTTGTTTTCTGCACTTTTTCCTGCTACTTTATATTAAGTCACTATACT